CCAGAATCACTGGCATGGCCCTGTGGGTGGCACAGTACAAGTGGGGAAAAGAAAAGGACACCCCTTCCATCAGGATAAGACCATACAGGCTTTTTTGTATTTTCAGTGGGGAGAAGTCCCGCAGGTCAGTCCTGCCTGGAGGGACTAATAAAGCAGGTGACTTGTGGGGGAGGCTGGGGCCCCAGGGCAGGTCTCCCCAAGGCAGGGGGGCTGAACGGAGATCTGATTGACTCGTGGCAGTTGAGCATTCTAGATGGAGAGACTGGAGAGTGGTGGTGTGGGTCCTGCCAAGGAGTTATTGAAGACAGGAGATCACTCCTCATTCACCAGGTCTTTATGGAGTCGAGCTCCCTGCAGGGATGGCTGAAGCTGCCTGGATGATGTCAGACTGGAATGTCTCTGGTGGAGGGAGCAACAGTCAGACAGTCCTGACTCTTTCTTCCGCTGCTTCATGCTTATTCCCGGTGCCCAGCTCAGCTTCCACCAGGGAGCTGGCCTGCCTTCCCCCTGACATATCATCAGAGGTCTGTCCTAGGTCTTAGCCTGAGGAGTCCCGGATTCAGGGGTTCAGGCATAGGAAACTAATTTTCTTTCTTTCTTGCTTGCTTTTTAAAAAAGATTTATTTGTTTATGCATGTAAGATCTGGGGTAGAGGCCAGAGGTGTGTGTGGGGGTGCGGGGGAGAGGATTCACCAGAGTCAGAGCGGGGAGTAGAACAGGCAGATTGACTGAAACACACTGCTGAGGGGAGCAGCGGGGAAACAGGAGAGGCCTGCTGCGCCCTGTGGGTCAGCTCCTGGCAGTGATGGAATCCAGGCTGTAGAGGTGATCGCACTGAGACTTAACTCCTAGGCCACCAAGGAGGCCCAATTTTCATTCTTCTAGGTGGTTCAGGGGTAAAAATTACTCTTGGGCTTGCAAAGTCTCAGCTGCCCTGAAATAATCCACATGCCAAAGTGGCTGTCTTGGGAAGACCTGTCCCCTGTCCTTCAATCTCTTCCTCAGATTATTCACAGATGCCAGCTACAAGCGCCTCGCTACTACTGTGAACCCCAGCCTCCCATGTGAGATGGGATGAGGGCTCTGCGAGGTGCCTTAAAGGATTGGGGCCCCTGGATGCCCGGGTTGTGGTGTCCCCAGGGAATTTCAAGTCCCAGGGAAGCACAGAGTCCAGGTACCCAGAGGAGTTTCCACAAAGATATTGGGTATCCACAGAGCTTGAGGTTCAGAGCCCCCCTCCCTCTTTTCAGGTCCCACTGGGCCTTCCTGGTTCTAATGGATCTTTGGGGGGCGGGGAGCAGAGGAGTGGGCTCTGGGGAGATCTCGTACTGACTCCGATGGCATTTCCACACCACCTCAGTGAGAGCTGGAGACAGGGGAGGGGAAAGAAGAGAGTAGGAGGTAAATCGAGGTTGAAATTAGGTTCTGCCTCTGGCAAATGGGTTTAATAACGTCACCTAGCTCCAAGGCATTGTGAAGATTAAGTGAGATAATAATATAAGAAAGTGCCTCTTTGTTTTTCACATGGGTGAGTTTGCTGACAAACAGCTGGGCCAGCCTCACCCCACACCCATGCTGGTTAGTTAACAAGGAGCCAGGCTGTGAAGCACTGGGGACTGGGACATCCAAAGGGCTGCGGGCCGCCTGCTCTGCCCCAGTGGTCTCTGGTTCCAGTGGTCATGCCCCTTAGAGTGTTCAAGGGAACTTACGACTAGAGTTCTTTAGGGTTAAGTCTCAGAACTATGAAGCTGTCTGTAGCTACTGCAGCTCGTATGAGTTCGATCCCCACCAGGGAGTGACCCACAGGGCACAGCAGACCTCTCCTGTCTCCCCCCTGCTCCCCTCAGCAGTGTGTTTCAGTAGCTCTACCTGTCTGCTCCCCGCTCTGTCTCTGGTGAGTCCTCTCACCTCTCCCTACACCTCTGGCCTTCGCCCCCGCTCTTATATGCATAAATAACTCTTTACCAAAATAAAGACGAGGGTCCTTTATAGACAGGTTCTGGGGGAGAAGAGCCTATGGATCTGGCTCCCTGAAATTCACAGCAGCGCACCCCTAATATTAGATGATTGTATTGATTGTATTGTATTACAAATCAAATTTGCCATGAAAACAGCATGGCAAATCCTACAGTACATAAAGAGAGAGGCAGAAATTCTTTCCCAATGCCCCCCCACCCCATTCCTCAATTCAGTCCTGAAACCTCTGGAGACCTGTCCTGGGGTGCCCTGTCACATTGCCTCCCTTCAGGCCTTCCCCCTGAGTCCTGAGATCCCAAACCTCCATTCTTTGCACCTGCACGCCCTCTAGTGGGGGCTTTGCATATTGGCGTGAGGACCCCGCGGGAGACAAACATGGCCCCTGTCCCTCACGGATCCCATCTCAATTCTTGGTCTCACCTTGTCTTACTAGAATTTGACTGCCTAGGTTGGTTTTTCCCACCCAGGGCTGGGAGGTAACTAGGAACAATGTGACTGCTAAAAGAGAAACAGGGCTCTCCTGGTGGCGCAATGGGTTAAAGCACCGCATTATGAAGCTCTCCAAAGCCAACACAGCAAGAGTTCGATCCCCGCCCCGGAGGTGACCCACAGGGCACAGCAGACCTCGCCTGCCTTCCCGCTGCTCCCCTCAGCAGTGTGCTTTGTCCATCTGCCTGTTCTGCTCCCCGCTCTGTCTCGGTGAATCCTCTCACCCACCACACCTCTGGCCTGTACCCCAGTTTTGTAAGCATACATAAATAAATCTTTAAAAAAGAGAGAAACAAACACCAAATTTAATACAATGGCGACCCTAGTAAGTCAAAAGCAGCCCTTTCTCGGAGAATGCACAATGACAACATAAGACCTCTTTATGGAAGCCTTTATTAAGGGCCCAGCTTTGCTTTAAAGGCTTGATTATATGTAGCTTGTTGAAATCGTTAGTTAACATCGCTGCTTTCTCACAATGGCACATCTCCGTAATATAATGAAGTAGCAGCTCCCCCTTGGAGTCCAGTGACCTATGTTTGCCAACCTGGTTCTGCGACTTACCAGCTGGGTGACTTAGGCTTATGTTATGTAAACTCCCTGACTCAGTTTCCTCTCTTGTCAAATGCGAATGATGATGGATCTCCCACCAAGGGTGGCTGAAAGGATTAAATGAACTTGTGTGTCAAGCGCTCAGCACAGAGAAGTGTGACTGGCTCAGGACATGTGATGAAATTACAGGCCTTTTCTCAGCAAGTGACTGATAGGAGGAATCTGAACCCAGGTCTGTGTGCCCACGACAGCCCATCAGCTCCTCCCTCCCACCAAGTCTTGGGGTCTCAGAAGCCCTCTCTCTCACTGAAGTACAGATGAGAAGAGTGACCCTAACCCTAACCCTAACGCTAATCCTGAAGAGCCATTTCTTGGGGGGTCATGGGAAATAAAGAAGGCTCTTTGTGCCAGCCTACCCTGGGGAAAGGCCTCAAAGTCCCCCACCCTGATCACTGCTTGGCAGGGAAATTTTGTACCTTGTGTGGGAGATTCTGTGGATCCCAATTAGGGTTGTGATTCTAAGATTCAAATCCCAGCAGTGTGGTAAATAATATAATTGCCGGGAAACTTACTGGTGGTGCAGGGGCGAAAGTTACAGCACTATCAAGCTATTGCCAGCCACTGTGACCTGAGTTCAAACCCCAGCCAGGGAGTGACCCACAGGGCGCAACAGACCTCTCCTGTCTCCTTGATGCTCCCCTCAGCAGTGGATTTCAGTGGATCTATCTGTTCTGTTCCCCACTCTGTCTCTGGTGAATCTTTTTCAACACCCCCATCCCTGCACCTCTGGCCTGTACCCCAGTTCTTGTATGCATAAATGAATAAGTCTCTAAAAATATGTATATAATGTCTGGAGGACCAATAAAGGCACAGAAGACATGCAGCTGCCTCCTAAAAGCAAACACTAGAGAGGCTGATGTCCACCCAGCCTTTAAAGATGGAAAGGAGGTAGGAAGTGGAGAAAAGGACATCTAGTCAGGGGCTGACATGGGCCAAGGCAGAGAAGCTAGAGACAGCTTCTGAAAGGGAATGAGTTTGAGGCAGGAAGTGGCAAAAGATGAGGAAAATTTGGAGAACTGCATGTAATGTGTCAACGATCTTTCTTTGGTTGAATAACCAACGAAGGGGCCTCCCTCGTGGTGCAGGGGGGTTAAGTCTCAGCACTATGAAGCTATTGTCAGCCCAATAGTTTGATGCAGCATAGTTTGATGCCCAACCAGGGCGCTGATCCACAAGGTGCAGCAGACCTCTAGTCTTGTCCACTGCTCCCCTCAGCAGTGGATTTCAGTGGATCTGCCTGTTGTGCTCCCCACTGTCTCTGGAGAACCTGCTCAGCATCCCCCACCCCACAAAACACCTCTGGCATGTACCCCAGTTCTTGTATGCATGAACAAGTAAATCTTTAAATAAAAGAAACAGAAAAACCAATGAAAAGTCGTGAAGGGAGGAAATGACTCTGGTAATGTCTTCTGCAAAGTGGGATAAGTGTGGCGAAATTTCATGACTTTTCAAAATTGCTTGTTTGCATTTAAAAAAAAATGCAAGGATGCTAACAAGAGACATGGACAAGATTAAACATTGAACCTTAACTGTGATTTCATTTGTGGTAAGAACTGATAATACTAATGTAAATAACTACTGTGGTTTGCCTGACATACCGGCTAAAGCAAGGCAAAGAGCAGGCACGAAAGACATATTTCTTGAATGAACACTGATGGCAGTAGCAGTGTGTGTAGAATTGGGATCAAATCAGTTAGGCGCTATGAACCCCGGGGGTGCAGTGTCTCGGTCGTGGTCATGTGTACAACAGAGATGATTGTGGCGTCGATCCATAGGAGAGTCATCCCTTTGCTGTCCTCTCCGCTGCGGGTCAGTTCGAAGAAAAGACAACACTTCACTTGCAGAGAAGCAACTTCAGTTGTTGCTACTACGAGGCTGCAAAAAAGGGAGTGAAGTGCGCAGTCGCAAACTAGGAAGGCGGCTCTGCGCAGCCGCAAAGAAGCGGGGCGGGAATGCGCAGGCGCAGAGAGCTCGGCGGGGCGCGGACCTCCCTCATCTGGCGCCGCTTCGCGCCCGGCCTGAGGCAGCCGGGCGGGCTGGTCAGGAGCCCGCGCCATCCCCGTGGCGGCTGAGGCCGGCTCTGCTGCGCCGGTCTCGGGGCGTCAGCCCGCCCCCTGAGCCGCCGCCATCATGCTGCTGCCCGTGTTCACCCTGAAACTGCGCCACAAAATCAACCCCCGTATGGTGGCCGTAGGGCGCTACGATGGGATTCATCCGTGCCTGGCAGCCGCCACGCAAGCGGGCAAGGTAACCGCTCCCTCCCGCACAGAGCCCGGGCCTGGGGTCCTCTCGGCCTCCGCTGGCCTGGCCCTTTCTACTCCGCCCCGCCGCCGGCCCCGCCCCAAGCTTGGGTTGCCAGGCAACCGATTCGCTGTCACTCACCCAGCGGTGCTCCATCCTGCGCAGCCGAAGAATGGCTTTTCTGAGCTGTTAGCTCTGTTTTGTCGCCAGGCGCTTGGACAGTGTTGAGGTTGCTGTACAGAAAGGGCGCTTAGGGGAAAAGTCCTCTTGAGGGGGAGGGGCTTGATCAGGAATCATAGTGTTAGAGGGTCCCAGATTCGAGCCCCGAGTTTCTGCCCGTTACACTGGAAATCCTTCCACTACCTCACAGCGTCTCCCGGGCCAAACAGGTTTACAGGGGAGCAGGGGGCGAGTGCGACTTCTGAGTGACTCACTTGGCACTTTTGATTTTTATCCATGTGCATACGTGTCTTTCCCCATAATTTACTCGTTAAGTACCTACTAGGTGCTTGTTCTGTGCCAGGCACCTTGCAAGGTGTGGGATTCACAGGGATGGAAAAGGCTAGGTCATTCGACATTCAGCGGACGTTTACTGCATACCTTGGTTGTACTGGATGTTGAGAATTGAGAGCTAAAAGCTGGAGTCCCCACATTTAGAAGGCTTATAGCCCGGCAGGCAAGGGACAAGGCAGATGAAGATGCTGTGTGGATGGAAGCACATCCTAACACGTGGAATCCAGTGACACCAAGCGCAGTAACTTCTAACAGTGGCAAAGCTTCGTTAATGATCTCAGCAGCCTCGCTACAGTGCCCAGGGCAGCTGCATGACACAGATGTGATGGATCCTGGCTCCATTACCTGCACATTTCATGACCCAGGGCGAGGCACTTAATATCAGTATCTACACATGGGGTTGCACAAAGATTAAATAAGATAATACATGTAAAATGACATAATTGTTAGCTTTATTAAAAGCTACTAATAGTTGCTTGCACATCTCTGACCCACTGTGGGTTTAGTAGGCTAACATTTAAGGAGATAGAGTTTTCAAGACACTTCTGCAAAAGTATTATTTCATATGATAGATATTGGGTATAAGTAAAAAGTCATGATTCATACTCATTAAAGAATAAAGTGATTAAGGTCCCTCCCTGGTGGCATAAGGGGTTACAGTGCAGCAGCAGGAAGCTA